GCCACTTGGTGGTAGCCACTAGCCAAATCCAAGGTAGAAAAAAATCTTGCTCCCCCCAACGCATCAAGACATTCATCAATACGAGGCAAGGGGAATGCATCCCTTCTTGTGATATTGTTCAATTTCCGGTAATCACAACACAGTCTTATCTCCCCTGACTTCTTTTTTACCACTACTATCGGTGCCGCATACGGGCTAGTGCTGGTTGTAATAATTCCCTTTTTTAGTAGATCGTTCAGGTGTGCCTTCACCGCAGAGTAGTGACTTGGTGGTAATCTTCGATAAGGTTGCGCCACCGGCTTGTCTTGTAGTAAGGGTATCTGGTGTTTTATTACTTCCGTGTAACCCAAATCACCCTCGTACGAGGCAAATATATCCCTGTACTTATTCAACAATTCATTTAGTTTTGGGTCCTCAGTTTCCGGGAATGTATATGATCGGCCATCCTCTTTCTTCACCTCGGCCGTCACATTGACCGACCTAACTGTTACTTCATTACTGCTGGTATTGCTCAGTTCGATGCACTGTGCCGACCTTTGTACCTCGACGTTCTGTGGTACTCCTACCAGAGTATTAGGCGGTATAAAAATTTCCTCATCCAAAACATTTGCCACTAATCCTTGAACTAGTCCATTTTCCGCTGATGTGTATGTCCGCAGTAACACGACGCCTGCCCTCAGTGCGGCGCCACATGGTTCTATCATCACATCACCATTCACGCTTCTATCACCAATTTGTAATGTGATTGCCTTGACCGTGTTTGCCGGGACTGATATCCTTCCTCTGGTCTTGGCAAACCTGGCCAACTTGGATCCCCGACCTGGTGTGGTCGATCCGACAATATTTGTAAGAAATTCTGGCAACTGGCCAAGAATATTCATCCCCAACAGGCAAGGTATATTTGACACATTTGTCTCTAGGTTGTGTTTCGTAACGAACACCCCAACCTGCTTCAACCTCTGTCCCGCCACCACGACATCCGCCAGAAAATAACCACAGTATGGAATGGTTAGTCCATTAGCTGCCGTCAGGCGCATGCATGTGTCAGACCTCAACCTATGGTCTTTTCCTTTCATCCATTTGGTGTAAAAATTTTCCGTAATTGTCGTCACCTGGGAGCCTGTATCCACAATTGCCTTCACCGCGATGTCCCCAATCGTAATCACCATTTCGGGACAGACTCCCATCATTTTGCTTCTTGGGCCATAACCTCGCCCCTCTGTAGCCTGGCCCTGCCTTACAGAGGACGACCGTTTCCCTGGCAGTACCGTGCCATATGTCCGGGTTGTGAACAGGACAAACAAATTGGTCGACCGTCAGCCGTCCACCGGAGTGATGGACCGGCGGGTCGCGGCCGTCCAACCTGTCTCTGTTTTGTACCGTTCTTTTCCTGATTCTCAGCTGTTGACCTGCTTTCTAACCTCTCCAATCTTTGGTTAACCTTATCCAGGTGGGCCAACAGTTGAGCCATCATGGTTTCCACCGTGCCGGTCCCCGTGGGTGGGGATTGTTCCTGTTCCGGCACAGAGACTTTGTCCACCGAACAGTTCGATTGGTCCTCATCCTCGGACCTGCGGATCGCTGAGTTCCTAACCTGAAGGAAGGTCAACTGCGGATCTTTGTGGACCTCCTCTTTCAACTCTCTCCTTAAGATCGGGGTTGCTAGCCCCTCGATGAACTGGTCCCTCAGTAGGCGTACATCAATGTCAGGTGTTTTGCCCTTTACCGAATCAAAGGCCCTGTTTATTCGGTGTGAATACTCCATCACACTCTCCGCCATTCTCTGCTTTAAGCCTACGAACCCCGATAGCAGTTGCGATCCCGACCATCTCTCCCCAAAGGTCTCCATAATTAGATCCAGCACCTTATCTGGATCTGATTGGACGGTTTTATCGTGGCATTTGACCTCTGCCCTAACCGTCTCTCCTATACTGCCCATCAGCAGTCTTAATCTTTCCTCTGGTGACATGTTTCTCGAGGCCCAGGCCGCTTTGACCTCTTCACTGAACCTGTTGGTTAAAGTTGGATCACCGTCCCCGTAAAATTTGTTAATGTGGGACTCTCTGGGCAGGACCACAATATGGGTCTGCTTCTCGTCCAGAGTAGACATTTTATTCCTTTAGTAAAAAAAAAGAGTTCTTTCTTACCGTGTGTGTATGAAAATTTTTTTCCTCGTTCCTCAATTTTCACTGTTCCTGAATATCCGAATTCACACACACACTAAACACTAGGTTGACTATGGGTGCCTAAAGCGGCAAGTCTCGTTGAATTCACCCTGTCCGCAGCGCCAAATGTAACGAGACTTATCCTGCTCGCAGAGCCAAATGTAACGAGTCCCCGAGTCTATCCTGCCGACAACGCCAAATGTAACGAGTCTCTGGCTACCCTGCCGACAACGCCAAATGTGACCTTCCCGAGTCTAACCACTCATTCCACACAACATTGACCACAGCATAGATACTCGAAGATGCAGGTTCATTATTGATCCTTTTATTACATGAATCAAAGAATGCTTCACAATAATATAATGAATCAAGAGAGATGTTTCACAATAATAGTCTGAATCAACGGACCCCCAACAGTCCTCACTAGGCTTCATCTAACTGAATACACATGTCTAACGTCCTTCTTAACACAATATAACCAACTTGATACTGCCTGACCGAGAGAGAGAGACTGACGGACTGACTGACAGACCTTCTGAGACCGACTTTCTGAGAGACTGACTTTCTGAGAGACTGACTGAGAGAGACTTCGAGCTCAGCCGTCGCCTTCCTTATATCCCCTTCATAATCGTACTCATATTCGGTCCTATCATAATCGTAATTGTAATCGATTCTAATCGTTACATCAGACTGTTAATTACGCCGCTTCTGTCGTACAGTCCGATTTTAATAAGCCACCTGCATCCTGTCACATCAAAGTTGACAGACCGTCCCTCGTATCGCTTCCCGAGATACTACGCCTTGGCATCAGCCAACACCTGCACTGTGACGTCAGACTGTAACACGTTATGTCTCTTGGTAACTTCCCCTAGTTACATATATATATATATATATATATATATATATATATATATATATATATATATATATACACACATACATACATACGCACACACATACAACATAAAAATAACTTTATTTAGTTAACTGATCATATCCTTAACAAAGAATGCTATGCACAATCCCTAGCAAGTAGTCAGTGTGCTCTCTTAAGCAGAATCAACAACAATACTGGTGTTTTAATATTTTTTTCTAGTTGGTTCCATCTTTTTCTCATAGTCACTGTGTAATTAAAGAACAATTGCTTTCTTTGAAGGATTTAGCAGCTAGTAATGTTAAGGCAAAACTTCACTGTTGGTGGCAGGGTGTAAGCCTTTTGCTGCTTTCAGCTGCCTTTGAATCTGACAAGGAAGAAGTGGTAGATATATTTTTGCAGCTCCTCCGTGACTTAGACTTTGTATTTCTAGACTAGGAGCCTGTTGGGTGTGCTAACAGTTTCCATCTTGTTTTTTGGTTGAGCCTGAGAGCAAACCTTCACATCATGCAGCATGAAGGTCGTGTATGGTTCAGGTAGAGATCTTAGCTTGACATTCAGATGCTTCACTAATATTTTGATATCATGGCTTTCATTGGGAACTCGTACCATCTACAGTTTAATCTGTCTGGTTCACATAAATCTATCCACAGCTGAACATTTTTTGCTTGGTGATAGGTTCATAAATAAAAGTGAGAATTTGGATACCCTACCCTATCTCACCCCCACCCCACTATCAGGGTGGGCATTCACAATATTTGAAGTCCTCTCTAAACTTAATTCTGAACTACTAATTCAGAAACATCTAATAATTTATAGTAATTTATTCCCTTTGGTAATGTCTGTTAAATTTAGTTTCAAATCAACCAGCATTCTGATCATGAGAAATAAATGACAACTGAGGATTGAGTAGAGACCACAAACAATCCATTCAATATTAACCTGAGAAATCAACAGAATATTCATGCAATAAGGCACAGTTAGAAAAAAAAACACAGCATAAAAATGTATCAGTCAAGTCAAATGTAGGGGGAACATAGAAATTACATGACACAATGAGAGAGAAATATTGGCAGTAAAGAACAGCAAAAATGACATGTTTAATAAGTCACAATGTAGCTGAATTAAAACTAGATGTAGATAAACATGTTCTACTGCTACCAGTACAAACAACACAGCAACACAAAATGTCATAAAAATTCTATTATAAGCCTGGTGCTTCAATCAACCTGATAAGTCCTGCCCCAGCTATTGAATGGTACCCCCCTCCCCCCTAGTTACATCAATCCACCTGATTAGTCCCACCCCCAGCTATTGAATGGTACCCCCCTAGTTACATCAATCAACCTGATTAGTCCCACCTCCAGCTATTGAATGGTCCCACCTCTAGCTATATCAATCAATCTGATTAGTCCTGCCACAGCAATTGAATGGTACCCCCCTGGTTACATCAATCAACCTGATTAGTCCCACCCCCAGCTATTGAATGGTCCCACCTCTAGTTACATCAATTAACCTGATTAGTCCCGCCCCCAGTTATTGAATGATATCCCCCTAGTTACATCAATCCACCTGATTAGTCCAACCCCCAGCTATTGAATGGTCCCACCCCTAGCTACATCAATTAACCTGATTAGTCCAACCCCCAGCTATTGAATGGTCCCACCTCTAGTTACATCAATTAACCTGATTAGTCCCGCCCCCAGTTATTGAATGATATCCCCCTAGTTACATCAATCCACCTGATTAGTCCAACCCCCAGCTATTGAATGGTCCCACCCCTAGCTACATCAATCAACCTGATAAGTCCCGCCCCCAGCAATTGAAAAGTACCAAGGGACTTGGTGACTGCTAGCACCAGGCCTATGCCACACATTCTGCTACCTAAGTCAACCAGGATGATGTTAGGACAACAGCCTGTTATTACACAGAAAAACAGCACTCAACAACAGGCTACTCACTTCCTCTAATCTTCTGTCTGTTCCTTTTGCTAATAGGTTGTTAAATTCACGTTCTAGTATTTGCCGAGCCTACAAAATAAAAAGTAATTACTAATTACTAAAAGTAATTTCTAAGTTAAAGAAAACAAAGTCTATACTGGCCACAATACCTTCCTATGGTATGGCAATAGTGACAATAAAACTTTATATTAACCATTTTAAAATTCTGTACTATGCTTTCCAGTTTAATGTATAGGTAATATATTGTCAATAAAGCTAGCCTGAATGCAGATTACTAATAAAATTGAGTCAATTAGCTTTTCAATAACAATCATGAACAGTCTATTTTTTAGTTAGAAGACTTTTAAAAACATTGTACTTTCAAATTAATGAATTACTATTTATGTGTTATATCATTAAGATGAGTTGTGTTTTTTTTTTTTAATTAGGCCATTGTTATTGAAAATTTTAATACATATCTATTCATATATAATTTTAAAAAATTAATTTATCAGTAAATTGACAGTTAAGACAATCAGCCATAGAAGAGAATGTAGAGAATAAAATCAGTTGAACCTGTTGGTTTTGTGTGGGTATCTGCAGTGCTAATGCCATACTACAATGATCAAAGCTTTCATCTAAAGCTATCAAAGCTCCGTGGACTCCAGATTCCATTAGATTCATTGCATATTCTCTCAAGTTAATGGCTTGCACCCATTTGATTACTCGCTCGTTTGACCAGACTAAAACATCTGCAAAAGTCAACATTGAAATTGAGCAAAGATAAAGATAATTTAAAGAATGGTTTTAAAAATGTACAAGTTGATGTATGATTTTAGGTAAATATTGATGTTTGATTTAATATATTTGTGCTGATGCTACATAGTACACTGACCTTTCACTTCTATTTGACTCTCCTCTCTTCTCCGCTCCAATTCTTTTTTATCATAATTAATTTTTTTTAAACAGTTGATGCCATATTGTAAACTTGTTCTGATAAGAGAAAAGAAAATCTCAAGCTTTTTGTAGTGATAAAAACAATTTAAGGTTGATTAATTCTGCCTCATAAAGTAAAATAGAGGTTTGAAAATAAATTTGAATCACAATCAAACTGAAGTTGTATATTAATTGAATGAAATTTGATGTAACTTCCAATATATTGTAAGTTTGTTATATTTAACTAGATAAATGGCCCATTGAGGGAGAAATACATGAGTTTTGTCTTTTTCTCTAAACCAAAAACCAAAATCACTACCTCATCTTCAAATTTAACTGGAAACAAAAAATGTCATTTAAAATGGACTTTTATTCAGAATCAGCATTTTAACCAGATTTAACCTAGATATACACATAGTAACTGCACATTCATACTAAATATAGTTGTAGTCATATCCCTAAACCTTGCACCTAAGCTGAAACTTGATAAAAGTTGCGTTAAGTTTCTTAAGGCTGAAAGAAACACTGGTCGCATTTGTAGATCACAAAGACTAAGCAGACCCTACTTCTACAATCTAGACCTGTTTCCTACTTTTGGCTGCTAAGCCTCAATCATGCAGATGATGTTTATTTCAGACTTTTTTTCTCTAACCCAAAGGGATGTCTGAAAGAAACTCTGCATGCAGACCACTTTTAAGATTAATTGACGACATTATTATTTTATTTTTTTGGCAATGGCTTCTTTACTCTGAGATCAATGACATCATTTTGAGGCTTAAAAACTGTACGTATTTCTATTTGTTTTGAAAATTTCCTATCCTTATGTTCCATGTGACGTCAAGGTCTTTCACGATGTATCTTTTAAATTTCCTTATGTTTCCGACAGAATAGTGAAACTATTATAGTTCATGGAATTTAATGAAAGAAAGTTTCCTTTAAAAAAAAAAAAAAAAAAAATAGAATTCCTAATTACCTGTGGAAACTATCCACCATCTTTAATTGTCCCCTGAGGTCTTTTTTAGTTAAATGATCAAGCATGCGTGCATCTACTAGACACTCCATGAAGTGGCTTCTGTACTGGGGCAGGCCTAGAGTGGGCAGCCAATCTTTGCCAATCCATTCATGGTTCATGTCACCAAATGCCAATGTCTGAGGTAAACAAGCAAGCAAAGATATTACTTGGGTGAAGATTGTACAGTAAACATCTATTTTTAAGTGGCCATAAAATACTCTGGTTTAAGGGTAATTTATTATAATACACTCTCACAAAGGTGAGCTATAAAACAGTACAACAGAACAAAACTTAGACAACATACAATGCAATAGGAACATATGATCACAATAGAAAAAAATGAAGGTACAAAAAAGAAGTTTTCTTACAGTTCTTGATGTTTTGGGAGCAGAAGGACTGGTTAGTGACACCATTTCTTGAATGGCCAGCCTCAGCTTCAAGCGATGAAGTGGATTGCTAATGCCAATCTCACGCTGTATCTCTGTGTCAGACAGTGCTGACATGATGGCCCCACTTTTCACGTTGGCACGACAGGCTGCCACATACCAGGCAGGCATTCCAACCCATAACTGGACAAACAATGTTTTATTCAATTATTTGGGCTTAAAGATAAAAACAAAATTTTTTAAAACATTTCAAGCTGAACATGCAACATCAGGTAATATCCACTGTAAAGCTCAATATTAAAAAATCCCTAGTTAGCAAATAAAACAAAAAAGATCACTAGTGAAGTCAGAATGATCCAGTGTAGCTGCTAGAATGAATGAAACACACCATACTGTCCCAACTTACTTCTAGCCAAGCGACAACTGTGGGGCCATTCCATAATGCAAATGGTGTGCTAGCTTTCATGGCTTCTTCTAATAGTTCATGCCTGATAAGAAAGAATAATTGGGGATTGAGAAACTCTTTAGGAAACACAAAATTTAAATAAACAGAAATAGAAACCCAGCAATTACCAAAGATTCCCATTTTTAATCCACTAGGGTATTTCATATTTTAATAATTTTTTTTTATATAGGGATGCTTTTGTTATTGTACTTATAACTGTAACAATGTAACATTTTAAAAATAAGTAAAAATTACTGCTACATTTAGAATTAGGTCAAATTTTAAAATAGTGTTATGGGTTAGATTATTTGCATTTTAAAATGTACATTAAAAAAATTTTAACAAAGAAAACGAAAAAAAAAACAACAAAAAAAAAAAACAAACAACCAACAAATAAACAAATTTATTAAACATGAACATTCTTAATTTAAAGTTTACTGAGTCATTTTGACTTGATCACATCTTGGATGTTGGTAGAAACGAAGAACAAGTTTACTATATACAACAGTTTTAAAAATAACAAAACAGTTATTATTTTTGGTATATTAAAAAAAAGTAATATAATACTAATATGTTTGTTTTTCAAACCGTACTTAGTTTTCTAAAGCTCAATTTACAGCAAATTAGCAACTTGGAAATGTTTAAAAATAGTGCAGTTTTATGTTCAAGATTTGAAAAAAGAAAAACAAAACACAGAATATGTCACTTACTTTTTCTTTTTTCTTCTGTCAAAATCTGATTGACCAAGTCCTATTCCCATTTCAGATCCACTGTTATCTCCACTATCAATGTAATTACCTATAAGAAAAGTCACCAGTAACACATCAATAAGTTTGCTACATTGAACAGCTAATGTAACTATTGAAAATTGTCTACACCTCACTGTAAATAGTTTGGTATTCTTCCTAATTTAGAATTTAGATTCCCAAAATTAATTATAGTAATATAGAAATGTGAATCTTATATATATAATTCTCTACGTTGCTCAACAATGCAGGCCACCACCATGCACATGGACTCTCTAACCCCCCCCCTCGCTCTCCAGGTGTGCGCAACAGACCATGTCGCTATCACCCCCACCAGTCTGGTGAGCTGTGGTTCACGCCAAATGTTTACAATCGTAGAGCCGGGTCGAAATAGTGATGGCTATATGGGGCAGATAATTTAGTTTTAGAACGATTTGAAACTAAGGGGAGGTATCAAGTTCTGCTTGATCTTTTCATTGTCGTCTGTAAACTGTCGTTATGGACGGCTGCTTTCACGGGAGGGTGAGGATAATCGAACTTTACTAAATAGCACTGTATGCTTCGCAGCGGTTCGGCTCTTCTACAACAAACAGCAGATTCAGTGATTGTGTGGCTATTCTTACCTGCAGCCATTTCTCTTGCTAATAGCTCTTTTGGTTTATGTTTTTCTTTCTTTGATGAAAAGAATCTGCCTAGTGAACTCTTGAGGCCTTTCTTCTTAGATGTAGGATGTTGATGCTGTTTATGTAATGAATCTTGACTGCTGGTCAAGCTGCCTAGTGGACTATTAGATGATCCAATGCTGATGTCTTGTAATCGACTGCTGTAGGAGTCAAGCATTTAAAAAAAAATTGTCAACATTTATTTTAAATTTCAAAAATTTATTTAAAGTTTGTTATACACTTTAAATTCATTTAGACTCTAAATGTTTACTGAAAATTTTACCTTAATTTATTATCAAAGGGAGAGAAATGTTAACATTTATCATAAATTAAAAAATGTATTAAAAGTCTGATATACATTTTAAATTAATTTAAATGTTTACTGGAAATTTTATCTGAATTTATTATCAAAGGGAGAGAAAGAGAAAATAATCAAACTATTGATTTGAAAAAAGTCAAATCATTTGTACCAGCACTTACCTAATGCTTTCTTCTGGGCTTTTGGCTAGTGCTGCAGCAACACGTTCTAATCTAAGAGCACGAGGGGTTGGAGGACTAGACTCACATTTGATTTGACGAGATTCTTCCTTACAGTTAATAGAGCTATCATCACGGCTGTATTGCTGTAGAGGAGAAATGGCATTTATTTCTGTGAGCTTCGCTAAAATATTGAGTGAAATAGACAATTTTATAACTGTATCAAACTGCGAAGACAATGGTAGCAATGGACAATGAGTGAATCAAAGAGAGCATGCAGACAACGCACCTGTTGACCAGAGGGACTAGAATCAGCAGCTGTGGCCAGCTGAGGACTGGATGAGGAGTAAGTGTACATTTGGGCTGTCATGCCAGCAGGTGCCTGTAACAGTACACAATACATTCAATCTTGGCTCCAGTCAATTAACATTTAATTTATTATGTTAATATTCTAAAACTAGTCTTAAACCTCTTTATATTTATAGACAAATTTTAAAATAAAAATAGTTACATATACAATTATATAATTTTATACTCTGAAATTAAATTTCCTGAAAATTATTTTTTTTATAAAGAAACAACAGTTTTTTAAACAGCATATATAAATAAATATATATATATATATATATATATATATATATATATATATATATATATATATATATATATATATATATATATATAACAGAAAACATGCAAAAAAATGAATGAAATATATAAAGAATTGTTTTTAAAAAAGGTGCAGGTTTTTTTTGGTAAGGGGACAAAGAAAACTTGAAAGTTTCTCTTAAATTTGTAGTGCACATCAAGATAGAAAAAACACAGAAAATAATTTAGCAATAATAAGTCAAATATTTTTTTATAGTGGGATAAAAAAAAAAGAAACACACTGGTTGGGATTTGCAGGCAAATAGAATGGTACAACATTCATGGCCGAGTGAGAAGGTTGGTCATGGCACTACTGAAAGGTAGAAGTAAGGCAAATCTATGATAAAATGTTTATTTTATCATAGCTGTAATGACATAGCTGTAACCTTCAGGATATCGATGTGTGAACATGTGATTAAGAATTGTGAGCTTCAATACAGTTTGCCTTAGGTCTAGCATTCCAGTGAACATGCCCACTCCTCTACAGACCAGATCATGCCTGCACTTACAGTGTGGTACTTCTGTAAAGAATCCCTCGACTGATATGAGGAACGTGGGTGGGTAGGGGTGGAGCGTCCACTGGCAGGTGGAGATGCTGAGCGCTCATAGCCCCGCCACCGCCCTGGTAAAGTATCCAAACTACCGCTGCCTACCCGAATTTCCAGTTCATCCGCCCTCTGTTCTGTGCTTTCTTTCTCCTCTTGAATTAATCTAAACAAACATATTTTTATTTGTTATACTTTTTATTTAAAAAACAACAGACTGCTATGTGAATAAAGAGACATAAATCTGTTAGACAACACTCCTGAGAACATACCTGATCTCATTGTTAATGGCATCCAACTGCTCCTGCAGCATAATCGCTAATGTCTGGGCACCTGTGTGACCTGATGGAGAGAGCAGGTCCACTCCACCAAACAAAGACTCACTGTCATCTGTTCCCTCTGTATCACTGGTATCAAAGGCGTGAGCTACGTTAGCTAAAACATGGGCTTGTTGCAGTTTCTCCCATTCTTGTTCATTCAGTGTATTCACCTAAAGGTTATACATTTCACATCAATGATACAAATTTCACATCAATAATACAGATTTCACATCAATGATACAAATTTTACCTCAATGATACAAATTTCTCATCAATGATACAAATTTTACCTCGTTGACACAAACAAAATAAGAATTTCCATTAAAAAATATTAGATTTTTAAAATACATTTTAAAAAAATGTAACTAGCTGACAATGTGCAAAAGGCTGATGAATACTTACTTTAGTAGGATCTTCAATCATAGCCTGTTCCCTTCCTCTATGATGTCGCCGTGACACATTATCTTCAAATGCATAACCAGCCCTGCATTTCAACACACACAAAAATCAAAATTACTAAAACATTTTTACCTAAACATTAATTCTTGATTGGATTATCTTTCAACAAAGTTGTACTGTAACATTTTTAAACAACACTAAGAATAATTTCACATTACCTCATTAGCTGTTCCATTTGCATCCTTAATGTTTCTACTTCTTTTCTATATCTAAGTAAATCATCGTTTATTCTTTCCTAAAAAAATAAAACAAGAAATATTTTATTCAAACTGTTGCTTGACAGATGTTAATATTTTAAAATAACAACAAAGATTACTACTACAGATTGAACATTCTTTAAAGTATGAGGAAAAAAATGAAAAAACAAACTTTTTCTTGTTGTGTATCATCTAAAATCTTTGTGATTCTCTGTAAGTCTGCAGTTAACTGATTTTTTTCTTCTAGAGCCGCCATTCTTTCCTTGAGATGAAGCTGTAAACGTTCATTAGACTCAGTGAGGAGCCGGTCCACTGTGGCTGACAGCCTCACATTGTGTTCTTCATTCATCTTCTCCCTCTGCCGCGACTGCAAGAAAAGTTGCTTGTTTTTAAACACACACCAACAATAGGATCATGGAAATAAGTAATCTCAAATATTACTTTTCTTGTTTTTTCTAATGTGAGAGCCACAGAAGTAAGATAGATGGGACAAGAAGATGATTTTGAGTTATATTTAGCAAATATCAAAGGCAAAGTTTACCCTCATGAGCTCAGTTTCCTTATCATGTAGTCCTTGCTCTAAAGACATGATCCTCTCTGCTGTAGAGCCATGCTGTTCTTCTGCCTACAATGTGAGGGTCAACATTTGCATTGTTTAATACATTCATTATTTCAGCATCAACAGTAAGTGTGGTAGCTTTATTAAAATGATATAAATCTTTAACCAGCATTCTTTAGTTTACACTCAAGTGGATACAATGTCTGTTTACCTGACTTAGTGCCTCTAATCTCTGCTGCAACTCAGCTTCTATAGAAGGCATAGCCTCCACTTTCTTCAGAGATTGAGCCAGTTTCTGTTCTAAATGATCCACCTTTTCTTGCAAACTGCGCATTTTTTCTTCAGCCTGCAAAATATGAAAACATTTCATGTTGAGATAAATAAAGAAATGTTGGGTGATAAGCAAATCAATGGAAAAAAAAACAACAGTCAATAAAAAAACAAACTTACACTTCGTAAACTTGCTTCTTTAGTTTGTACTTCAGCTTCCAGTTTGTCATTGAGGTCGTGTACAGAGGTAGACTCACGTTGAGCATTGAGGTAACGCTTCTCTAGTGTAGCTATTCTTTCTTCCTGATCTTCTTTCTGTGCTTGGGACTGACAAGTGAAGAAATCACCATCAGATTGTAATGCTTATATTTGAGCAATACTCTCATTTAAACAAACAAGCATCAACATGAAATCATTCTGTTACTAGACTTAAATGAATGGGACGGGGTGGTTGAGCACAGAATGCACATAACAAGCTGAAAGTATTGAGCGTGGCAACTGACTCATGTCTGTAGGATGTCTTTGTCCACCTAGTGTCCAATAGCTACCTGATAGATTTCATTAGCATCCTCAAGAAATGAATATTCTAATAGATTTGAATAAGATGATAAAAGTAAAGATGAACCCTTGTAAGAGAAGTGTGGGCTGTGCTGGTTACCTCTCTCAGATCTCTCTGCAGCTTATTGACAGCCTCCTGAGCTTTGACCAGCTCCTTCTGGGATGTAGTGTAGTTCTCATCCAGCTCAGTCAGCTTGTTGTTTAACTCTAGGATGCGTGTCCTGGCAGCAGTCAGCTCTGTGTTCTGTTTCTCTACAGTTTCTTGAAGATCTAACACTCTACCCATCTCTGAATCTGGCTCAATGGAGCCATTCGATAATCTCTATTAAGAAGACATATAAGATTATCATTAATTGAATTTTTTTTGAAAAGTAGTTTTAAAATATTTTTAAAAAACTAGATTTCTTGAACTTGAGTAATTTTCTACATTATTTGGATAAAATGTTTAGGAGCACTACACTAAATTTTATTTAGTTTGATTTTCCATACAGTAGAAATTTGTTTATAAAAGCTAGCAGTATCATGCTCTCACACTTTACTTAGACCTCAGGTGGCCAACCACTGACTCTAAAAATAAAACTAAGCATTGGTGTAATGGCTGAAAGGTTTACAAACCTTGGGAAGGCCTGATGTGGTTGTGGAAGACTCGCGTGAGTCAGCATCTCCCTGACTCGTGGAGTCAGTGCGGTTGGATTTGATGTCCTCCGCGCTGCCGCTAGAATGGCGAGATTTAGTCGCCTGTTCTCGGAATGTGAACAACTAGAAACAAAATTAGAGATTCAACTTCCTGTTCTTGAAATGTGGACCACCAATAAAAATTATTTTAAACTGTCATCAAACAATCATTATTTTTTTAAAGTTGTAAGGGGAGGTAATTATTTAATACTAAAAGTGAGACAAATAGTTTATAACATCCAGCTGTGGTCCTGATATTTAATCAAACACTGAAGAATCCAAGTGACTAACCTCTTGATTGGCACTTGCTAATTCTTCCTCTAATTGTGCAACTCTTTCTAAGGCCACACGCAGACGTTCTCGTACTTTCTCATCTAGAGCTTTATGATGTTCAAAGAGAGACTTGAGAGCCTTGAGCACCTCAACCTCGCTAGAGACACCAGCAGGGGAAGATGCCTGACGCTTGACCACTGTCATCCTGAGAGATCTTTCGTGTCTAGAAACCAGGCACTCAAGGTGTTCTAAAAGCAACTGTTGGACAAAAATATTTAGCTAAATAATTCTTTTAAACGTATGATAAAGTAGATTGGTAACTAAAAACATGGTTATGTTAATGATGGTTCAGCAAGAAATATTAATTTGGAAGTTGGGTGGACAGGACAATTTACAACAACACTAAAGAAGCATTTAGTGTTCTCATTAGGGAGATGAAAGGAGTAAGACATTTTAAAGAAAAAAAGGTATAACATGAAACTGTGATTTGACATACTCTGGTATTATTTCTTTCTGCCTTGAGTTCTGATATCTCCTCCTCTCTTTCTAGTAACTGTTCTCTAACTTGATTTAACTCTTTGGTTACTGTGGCTAGTTCCTACAGAAACAGAGAAAATTTCTGATTATGACAGAGACTAACAATTATAAAATACAAAGAGCATTTAATATCATTTGCAGTAACTAATCCAATTACAAAATTAATTAAACTTGAAACAATAATGGCAAATCAGTATAAATAAGCCTAGATTTGTTGAGTGAAATATTCCACAGAATACAACCCTGTTAAGTAAACTGCTTCTCCCTGCATCTCTACCCCCCCCCCCTCCCCACACTCAAGTATAAATAAGCCCAGAATTGATGCGCAAAATATTCCACAGAAGTAAACTGCTTCTCCATCCCCCCCCCCCTTATTCAAGTATAAAATGTCTAGATTTTCTGAGTGAAATATTCCACAGAAGTAAACTGCTTCCCCCCCCCCCCCTTATTCAAGAATAAATACGTCTAGATTTTCTGAGTTAAATATTCCACAGAAGTAAACTGCTTCTCCACCCCCCCCCCCCCCCCCACACACACACACACATTCAAGTATAAATAAGTCTAGATTTGCTGAGTGAAATATTCCACAAAACACAACCCTGTTAAGTGAGCTGCTTCTCTCTGTATCTCCCCCCCCCCCCCCAATTCAAGTATAAATAAGTCTAGATTTGCTGAGTGAAATATTCCACAAAATACAACCCTGCTAAGTAAGCTGCTTCTCCCTGCATCCCCCTCCCCCCAATAAAGTATGAGTTATATTTGCTGAGTGAAATATTCCACAAAATACAACCCTGCTAAGTAAGCTGCTTCTCACTGTATCCCCCCCCCCCCCCTCCCCCCAATAAAGTATAAGTTATATTTGCTGAGTGAAATATTCCACAAAATACAACCCAGCTAAGTAAGCTGCTTCTCACTGTATCCCCCCCCCCCCCCCTCCCCCCAATAAAGTATAAGTTATATTTGCTGAGTGAAATATTCCACAAAATACAACCCAGCTAAGTAAGCTGCTTCTCACTGTATCCCCCCCCCCCCCTCCCCCCAATAAAGTATAAGTTATATTTGCTGAGTGAAATATTCCACAAAATACAACCCTGCTAAGTAAGCTGCTTCTCACTGTATCCCCCCCCCCTCCCCCCAATAAAGTATAAGTTATATTTGCTGAGTGAAATATTCCACAAAATACAACCCTGCTAAGTACGCTGCTTCTCACTGTATCCCCCCCCCCTCCCCCCAATAAAGTATAAGTTATATTTGCTGAGTGAAATATTCCACAAAATACAACCCTGCTAAGTAAGCTGCTTCTCCCTATATCCCCTCCCACTGTCGACATTTAAGGATCAAGCAGAACGTAGAAATGAAACCAAGAGCAACAATCTCGGAGCTTAGCATGGAGGAGGTCCCCTGCCGTCCCCTGAACAGCTCAAGTGATTAATTACACGCCAGGCCAGACGGTAAGGTGCTTTTTAACACCACAATGACGTATCGGCTTTGTGTATTTAACATCAATACACACTAAATGAGAATGACGTCAAAACTTGAACACGGCAATTTGTGCTCACGTAGTTAGGTATCGATTATGTAAGAGTTTCAGGCGCATTTTACCGCGAGAGTTATTTCCCCCAACACCTCCTTAATCAATGAATAAACGTTTACTTTGGTGCTTAAGTCGCAAGATTTAACTGCCGTTGTTTGTTTTCTGTTGGGTTGCTTCCCCTCGCGGAGGCCCGTGTACAAGCTAAACGGTGTCTTATAAATATCTTGGATTCGCTACGTTACCGTTTACACTGAAGTAGCTGTCACTTGCAAATATCTTGGATTCGTTACGTTACCGTTTACACTGAAGTAGCTGTCACTAGACAATATCTTGGGTTCGCTACGTTACGTTTACACTGAAGTAGCTGTCACTTGCAAATATCTTGGGTTCGTTACGTTACCAATGTACACACTGTCATGCCCATTATACAACAAGATGAATGTATCAACCAATAAGGTTAAGATTTCTAAAGCCCAACACATGTGTTTAAGTGTATAATAAACGCAAATCTCCACCAGTGAGACTTAGTACTGACTCACGTAATAAATAAACTGACAGCTAACGGGAACTCAATCATATCCGCAATCTGTGTTCACGGTTTAAAATAGAGTTCAACCTGTTGTCCTACTATACTTAGAAATAGTTTGAATATCCCTTGCTATTCCTAGCGCAACTCGATCAAAGTGCCCGCTACCTGTGATCTAATCAGTCTGGCGGGGGATAACTCCGACAGATCATTGATCACATTGCCTCCCTTAATGTGTCACTTCTCTTCCCTATTCTATTTGATCTGAGCGCCCGGCTCATGTCAAGATGGCGATGAGGTCGTGGCTAGTCAATAAACAAATAGAGATGTATACACCAAGACTGGACTAGGCTGGAACACCCCGCTAGTTCAAACCACTGGGGACCTACAGAAAGAATTCCATCACTCCCAAGTTTATACCAATCTAAAAACACTATAACACATAACCGACGTTCACGACATTAAACTATTTGAAAATGACATACACGTTTCTTTTGGTTCAAGTAAGTTATTTACAGGATATCGAGTTTAAAAAGTTGTGATAAGGTGAACAACCAGAGCTACCAAACCTGGCCAGCTAGCTACCGATGGAGACATTAGGTGCTCATTTAGCCAATCTACTCAACCAACACACAGAAAAAAAACCTACTCTTCCAATTCTAGTTTTCAGGGCGGCAAGTTGAACAGTTATCTCCTCATGTTTTATTAAGCATAAACCAATTATCTCCCCTACTTGGTGGTCTAAGTGATAAGTGATGTGACGGTCATGGATCATTTAGCGCTGGCTGTTTGGGGCCAGCAAAGTGAGACAATAGACAATAGACGGCGGTGAATCGGGGGAGGGGGGATCTTTAAACAGGGCAGTCAGTTGTGATATGCTGGAACACCGGACAGCACCCACAAGCAGTACAGTAATGTCATGTTATTTCTGTCTTCAATGTCCGACCGTCAAGTCAAAATGTCTGTGAATGCCCCATGAGTGGTGCCCAAATACCGGTTGAATCATCTGTTGGTTGAAAAAAATCCAAACAACTCTCCGTAAAAGGGCCCAACTTTAAAGCCATTTGAGATGGAGTTTACAGTATTTCAAAGACTCAATCAATGTTTAACGTCCCAAACGACGAGTGTTAAGATTGTACAGACAGACACACAAACAAACATGATGAAATATATATGGTTATGGTAGCCCCAAACTCCCAAACGACGAGTGCTTAGATTGTACAGGCAGACACACAAACAAACATGATGAAATATAGATGGTTATGGTTGGCCCAAACGACGAGTGTTAAGATTTTACAGACACAAAAACAAACATGATGAAATATAGATGGTTATGGTTGGCCCAAACTCCCAAACGACGAGTGTTAAGATTTTACAGACAAACAAACATGATGAAATATAGATGGTTATGGTTGGCCCAAACTCCCAAACGACGAGTGTTAAGATTTTACAGACAGACAAACAAACATGATGAAATATAGATGGTTATGGTCGCCCCAAACGACGAATGTTAAGATTTTACAGACACACAAACAAACATGATGAAATATAGATGGTTATGGTTGGCCCAAACTCCCAAACGACGAGTGTTAAGATTTTACAGACACACAAACAAACATGATGAAATATAGATGGTTATGGTTGGCCCAAACTCCCAAACGACGAGTGTTAAGATTTTAACAGACAGACAAACAAACATGATGAAATATAGATGGTTATGGTAGCCCCCTGCTGGCAACCCGCAGCCGATCAAAGTAAAGCCCTACAACAAATGTATCGACCCACTGCAGCAAACGCTTGTTTCCACTTCATTGAACGCATGTTTACGCAGTCAGGCTTGACTGAGTATCATACAATCTTTGATAGCTATTGTTTGAAAATTCTCTCGTGTGTTCAGAGATACCTAACCAACATTCATGAAACGTGTGGCCAGTTTCGCACCTCTACAATAGCCACAATAGAAACAAGCTCTCAACGTTTTTTTTTCTTCTATCGACCCCTTGAAATACCATCTCGTGTCTTCAGGAGGTGGGTATACACCCAAGGTGGGACAAATCATATCTTTACCATCAACATGTAATCAGTTATTACCATCGCAGCCAAGGGGGGTTAACTTGAAGTACTTATTCTATTGCGTTAACTTACAATATCTTAGAAAGATGTTAACAAGATGTTAACACGTGGAAAAAGGTTGGTGTAATATGGTCCAACATTGGCCACAAATCGAGGGTACCATTTGCTACATACATCTATCTAAATACGTGGGAAAAGGTTGGTGTAATATGGTCCAACATTGGCCACAAATCGAGGGTACCATTTGCTACATACATCTATCTAAATACGTGGAAAAAGGTTGGCGTAATATGGTCCAACATTGGCCACAAATCGAGGGTACCATTTGCTACATACATCTATCTAAATACGTGGAAAAAGGTTGGCGTAATATGGTCCAACATTGGCCACAAATCGAGGGTACCATTTGCTACATACATCTATCTAAATACGTGGAAAAAGGTTGGCGTAATATGGTCCAACATTGGCCACAAATCGTGGGTACCATTTGCTACATACATCTATCTAAATACGTGGAAAAAGGTTGGCGTAATATGGTCCAACATTGGCCACAAATCGTGGGTACCATTTGCTACATACATCTATCTAAATACGTGGAAAAAGGTTGGTGTAATATGGTCCAACATTGGCCACAAATCGTGGGTACGATTCGCTACATACATCTAAACACGTGGAAAAAGGTTGGTGTAATATGGTCCAACATTGGCCACAAATCGTGGGTACGATTCGCTACATACATCTAAACACGTGGAAAAACGTATAACCTTATTTCTCTGCTTGTAAATAATTCCACCACACAAAACCACATCCAAAATAGAGAAAAGCACGAGATATGGTAAAGAAAATATGAATATCTCCATACTTGTATTTACCAGTGAATAAATGAAGTAAACAATCTGGTACACTGTATAGAGAAACCTTCACACTG